CGTTCAAAGCAGCGCGAGACAACCGGCAGCGAGTTCATGGACGCCGAGCTGCCGAGGGCATGGAGCAAGCCTTCTTTCAAAACCACAAAGAAGCGCCATGGCGACTGCTTGGTTCGAAGCAGAAACAGAAGGGGCATGACGACGCATGCGTGGACGACCGTCGCGCAGAAAAACGTGAGCACGTAGTAGAGGATGCGGCCGAGGTCCTTGTCAAGCGTGAGGACGTGCGTGCCGGCGTACACGGGCCCAGCGATGAGCGAGATGAGTGCGATCGGTGCGGTCTTGACGACGGTCGTCATCATGCTATTGAAGATCGTCTCGAGACCGATGAGGAGCTTGAGGAGCGGTTTGACTTGGGCGAGACCGACCGCGAGGCCAAACACCATGGCAAAGACCACGATGCTCATGACCTCGTTGTTGTGCCACGCGCCAATGACATTGGTCGGCGTCAAGAGCAGCAGGCCGTGCAGAATCTCCTTGGTCGTCGACTCGTAGTAGATGAGCTTGCGAATGTCCGGCGCGAGCACGAGCTGCTTGGTGTTGTCGTAGAGCGGGAAGACCATGGTGCGGATCTGGCGCGACGGCAGCGGACCGCAGTTGAGCGTGCCGTTGGGCGCCATGCGCAAATACTCGGTCTTGTTGTGCGGACACGTGATCGAGTAGCCCGAGTACTTAAACATGTACGTTGCACCGTCGTACTTGTCGGCGAAGAGGTACCCCCACGCCATGGCTTGGGCGACGGCAAGGACCGTTGTCAGCAGCGAGTAGGCGGCGATGCGCCACCCCATGCGCGTGAGCCGCGGGTTGAACACAATGTCGGCGACCGCGCGCGCGAGGCTCACAAAGACCGTTGGCACGAGAAGGCAGCTCACAGCGCGAAAGTAGAGCGCGCCCCAGCGCACAATGAGCTTCTCCGTGTACTCGAATTGCTTGAGCTCCGACTTGACCGACTCCATTGCAAGCACAGAGCCGAGCACAAGCCCAAGAACCGCGCCGAGAAGCGTGCCAGGTGCGCCGACGTAATAGTGTGTCCAGGACCGACGGTCCTCGTCGTCGTCGCCGGCGCCCGACCGCTGGTCTTCACAAATGACCGTCGGGTACATTACCGGCCGGTGCGCGGTCGTCGGCTCGCTCGTCAGCACGGACATGCCAGCGGACGACGACTTTTGGCTGCCCCGGCTCGGTGTCGCGCCATTCGCGGCAGCCACAATGTCGTAGTCGCCTTCCAAGTACGCATCGTCCTTCGAAAGCATGGGAAACATGCTTGCAAAACCAAGAGTGAGACTGGTGTGTCTCGGAGCTATCGAACGACCAGCTGGAGTCGACAAGTGGCCTAGAAGAGCGAGCGCCACAGTGTCCCAGACACCTGTTACACTGGGTAAGCCATGCACGGCGACACAATCCCCGCCACTCTGCACCGCGCCTTTTCCGCCTTCGACTGTCCCATGCTCTGTGGCGTTTCGTTCGAGCGTAGAAAGGACGGCGCTGAAAGTGCACTTTCGATGGTTGAAGTGATCTTTTGAGTTTGCACTTTGGGGTTTGCACCCGTCTCTCATTGCCCAAAGGAAGGCGTCGACAGCGAGAGCATTATGATGGATGCTTTCGGCGTGGTGGCCTGGAAACGCATCCGTGTCCCATGGCGCGTGCATTCTTAGTCCGTCAAGCGAAATATGATCTCGCGACACGCATTCCTCGCCGGTGCTTGTGATTCGTTTTCCATCATCAAGCCTTCAAAACGCAGTATGCGCCAATTACACACTTTGTACTACACTAGTACTCGCTTGCCCGAGGGCATACCGGTGCGGTGCTAGTGTCGTTACGTTATGTCGTCGCTCTTCTGTTGTGGTTTGTGGAGTGAAGCCATAGACGCGTGCAGATGTAGCGCGAATCTGTACCACACAAGAGGCGGCGCGACCACAAACACGGCGTCGGCGCTCGTCTCTGCAAAATTGAGAAATGATAGCAATGGACTAAGATCGTATACCAGACGCTCGTAGCACAAGCGCTCGTGTGGTGTAGGAAAAACGATCTTTCAGTGAACGTCCTGATTACTGCTCTTGTACACGCGCCAACCATCATGGCAGCTACTCGCGCGAAACGCAGAGCCTCTTGCAGGCGGCGTCAGCATCAACGTGGGTGCCGTCATTGCCGGCTGGCGTATGCGTTGCAAGGTCGTGATCCCGGTACGATACACGCCAAGTACATGTACGTACGTACAGCAATATAGATAGTTTCGTTGGCCGCCAGACGATAAGAACGAATATTGGACGATGCCAGGTCAAGGTAAGCTACGTCAGCTCGAGATCGACTCCGTAGCGCTAATGGGGCAAGATTATAGCGTCTTTGGTGTTCGCTCCGCACTGTGGTTCGCTCCAACAGCAGCGAAAAAGAACCGTGCACCGTGAAACAGGTACATACTTGTCTTGCGTTGACATGGCAGAAGCCGTAAGTAAAGTGCGCCAAATACTCGTCGATGATGTCCGCCATTAGAGTTCTCGATTCACCTGACATCTTGAGCACGAAGGACGTACATTTGGCTCAACGGCATGTGTGTCCTGGGGCTACGAACGTCGACACCAGAGTAAACAACGTCCAATTCATTAGATGCACAAAATGGACAATAAATTAACAACAACTAGACGTCCGTTGCC